AATGTGTAAATTCAAAAAGATGCAAAAAAAGAATGTGTATATTTCTTCAATCTTATATAACATAATAAAGTTATAAAGGTATACTTTTGTACCTTCGCTATTCAGTGAAATCCTACCTCACTTTTCTTGAAGTGGAAAGATTATTAGTTAGAAAACAAAGTATGAGAACTTAATATATTTCCTCAAATATTATTTACTATGCTTTTTACTGTTAATGAACACAATGATATAAACCCAGGAAAACTAGTCTTTATAAATCACTCAGCATCCAAACAACAATCATTGCTTCCTCAGTTTTATCTTGGGTAAAAGCAGTATTCAAATGTTTATCTCTAAGTGTAGGTGATCACTTATTCAAATGTGAGACCTTACCATAAGACAGAGTCTCCCTCTCAAGTAGTCTCCTGTAGATGCTGCTTTAAGAATATCTATCCACTAGACAAGAATAGAGCAGTCATTGGTACACTGTTACTAAGGAAGTGATGGCATATCTTTCACCTAAGGATCTCAAACACTTTCAAGCAAGGGATCAGTGCAGGAGATCCTGGATAGAGTGGGAGAACAATGTGGAACAAAACTCCAAATCAGAAAAAAGACCAGGTTTACTGATCTGATAGAGCCCGTTGAGACCCCCAGGACTATGGGCCCTAGTTATCCTTCAGATCTGGAATTGAATTTACTCCCGTGGCTTCCAGCCAAACAAGAGACAGGCATATAGGGTGAATATTTACATCAGGTATAGTGGCTAAGACACTTGCCTGCTAACCAGATGGCTGGCGGTTCAAACCCACCAGCCACTCCTCAGAAGAAAGGTTGGGCAATCCTACTTCTGTAGTGATACTGCCTCGGAAACCCAAGGAGGGGTCGCTATGAGTCAGGTTTGACTCGACGGCACATAACAACATATGTCAGTAAGAAAAAAGAGATAAATTTCCAGGAATATCATTGCTCTATTTTCTGAGCTGTGTTTTTCTTCCAATCACCCAACTTTCAAAATATATTGAGAGTATTAAGAAAACGATCTGAAAATAGTTCCTGTGCTCTTCATTACATTTTCTGATCTGTATTAGACTCATTGTCTTGATACGGGTTTTCT